TGTTGTTGCAAAATCGTCAGGCGAAATCCCATTATTGTTGTTTTTATAAAAACAACGTTTGTTTATGAGTGGAGAACGATGGTAATGTTTACCAGGGGGTAAGGCAGGGAATACCTAGGTTTCGGAAAGAGCCACCAATCCTCATCAGTTCCCTTGTTTCTTGTCTGGGATATTCTCCCCAGAAGTTATTTAAAAAAATAACTTCTATGACAAAAAACATTTTTTACCCAAGTGACGAGATCGTAAGCTCAATAGAAGAGGAACAAAAGAATCACATAAAACTAAAATTCTTTTGGAAAATCTTCTAAATCTTACAACCGCACTTATAAACATTTACATCTTTCTCCACTTTGTTATGCTTTCGTTCAACCTGAACGAAGTAACATAACCATGTAAGTTTGTTTTGTCTGTTACAACAAAAACCCCTTCGTCGACCGTGCCTGTGTCTATTAATAGAACAGAGTTTGGCTTGCTTGTTTGGGATACCATAGTATTTTGTTGTTGCAAAATCGTCAGGCGAAATCCCATTATTGTTGTTTTTATAAAAACAACTTAAAACTCATCAACTTAAAAACTAATATTTGTCGTGCAAAAAAACAAAAAGAGAAAATATGGAGCAACTGATGTATTCATTTTTGGATGATTCCAGCAGTGAAGAGGACTGGCTGAATGAGGAATCAGATTATTAATTATTATTATAGATTTTGTTGTTGCAAAATCGTCAGGCGAAATCCCATTATTGTTGTTTTTATAAAAACAACGTTTGTTTATGAGTGGAGAACGATGGTAATGTTTACCAGGGGGTAAGGCAGGGAATACCTAGGTTTCGGAAAGAGCCACCAATCCTCATCAGTTCCCTTGTTTCTTGTCTGGGATATTCTCCCCAGAAGTTATTTAAAAAAAAAAAAAATAACTTCTATGACAAAAAACATTTTTTTACCCAAGTGACGAGATCGTAAGCTCAATAGAAGAGGAACAAAAGAATCACATAAAACTAAAATTCTTTTGGAAAATCTTCTAAATCTTACAACCGCACTTATAAACATTTACATCTTTCTCCACTTTGTTATGCTTTCGTTCAACCTGAACGAAGTAACATAACCATGTAAGTTTGTTTTGTCTGTTACAACAAAAACCCCTTCGTCGACCGTGCCTGTGTCTATTAATAGAACAGAGTTTGGCTTGCTTGTTTGGGATACCATAGTATTTTGTTGTTGCAAAATCGTCAGGCGAAATCCCATTATTGTTGTTTTTATAAAAACAACGTTTGTTTATGAGTGGAGAACGATGGTAATGTTTACCAGGGGGTAAGGCAGGGAATACCTAGGTTTCGGAAAGAGCCACCAATCCTCATCAGTTCCCTTGTTTCTTGTCTGGGATATTCTCCCCAGAAGTTATTTAAAAAAAAAAAAAAAAATAACTTCTATGACAAAAAACATTTTTTTACCCAAGTGACGAGATCGTAAGCTCAATAGAAGAGGAACAAAAGAATCACATAAAACTAAAATTCTTTTGGAAAATCTTCTAAATCTTACAACCGCACTTATAAACATTTACATCTTTCTCCACTTTGTTATGCTTTCGTTCAACCTGAACGAAGTAACATAACCATGTAAGTTTGTTTTGTCTGTTACAACAAAAACCCCTTCGTCGACCGTGCCTGTGTCTATTAATAGAACAGAGTTTGGCTTGCTTGTTTGGGATACCATAGTATTTTGTTGTTGCAAAATCGTCAGGCGAAATCCCATTATTGTTGTTTTTATAAAAACAACGTTTGTTTATGAGTGGAGAACGATGGTAATGTTTACCAGGGGGTAAGGCAGGGAATACCTAGGTTTCGGAAAGAGCCACCAATCCTCATCAGTTCCCTTGTTTCTTGTCTGGGATATTCTCCCCAGAAGTTATTTAAAAAAAAAAAAATAACTTCTATGACAAAAAACATTTTTTTACCCAAGTGACGAGATCGTAAGCTCAATAGAAGAGGAACAAAAGAATCACATAAAACTAAAATTCTTTTGGAAAATCTTCTAAATCTTACAACCGCACTTATAAACATTTACATCTTTCTCCACTTTGTTATGCTTTCGTTCAACCTGAACGAAGTAACATAACCATGTAAGTTTGTTTTGTCTGTTACAACAAAAACCCCTTCGTCGACCGTGCCTGTGTCTATTAATAGAACAGAGTTTGGCTTGCTTGTTTGGGATACCATAGTATTTTGTTGTTGCAAAATCGTCAGGCGAAATCCCATTATTGTTGTTTTTATCCCAGACAAGAAACAAGGGAACTGATGAGGATTGGTGGCTCTTTCCGAAACCTAGGTATTCCCTGCCTTACCCCCTGGTAAACATTACCATCGTTCTCCACTCATAAACAAACGTTGTTTTTATAAAAACAACAATAATGGGATTTCGCCTGACGATTTTGCAACAACAAAATACTATGGTATCCCAAACAAGCAAGCCAAACTCTGTTCTATTAATAGACACAGGCACGGTCGACGAAGGGGTTTTTGTTGTAACAGACAAAACAAACTTACATGGTTATGTTACTTCGTTCAGGTTGAACGAAAGCATAACAAAGTGGAGAAAGATGTAAATGTTTATAAGTGCGGTTGTAAGATTTAGAAGATTTTCCAAAAGAATTTTAGTTTTATGTGATTCTTTTGTTCCTCTTCTATTGAGCTTACGATCTCGTCACTTGGGTAAAAAAATGTTTTTTGTCATAGAAGTTATTTTTTTTTTTTTTAAATAACTTCTGGGGAGAATATCCCAGACAAGAAACAAGGGAACTGATGAGGATTGGTGGCTCTTTCCGAAACCTAGGTATTCCCTGCCTTACCCCCTGGTAAACATTACCATCGTTCTCCACTCATAAACAAACGTTGTTTTTATAAAAACAACAATAATGGGATTTCGCCTGACGATTTTGCAACAACAAAATACTATGGTATCCCAAACAAGCAAGCCAAACTCTGTTCTATTAATAGACACAGGCACGGTCGACGAAGGGGTTTTTGTTGTAACAGACAAAACAAACTTACATGGTTATGTTACTTCGTTCAGGTTGAACGAAAGCATAACAAAGTGGAGAAAGATGTAAATGTTTATAAGTGCGGTTGTAAGATTTAGAAGATTTTCCAAAAGAATTTTAGTTTTATGTGATTCTTTTGTTCCTCTTCTATTGAGCTTACGATCTCGTCACTTGGGTAAAAAAATGTTTTTTGTCATAGAAGTTATTTTTTTTTTTTTTTTTTTAAATAACTTCTGGGGAGAATATCCCAGACAAGAAACAAGGGAACTGATGAGGATTGGTGGCTCTTTCCGAAACCTAGGTATTCCCTGCCTTACCCCCTGGTAAACATTACCATCGTTCTCCACTCATAAACAAACGTTGTTTTTATAAAAACAACAATAATGGGATTTCGCCTGACGATTTTGCAACAACAAAATACTATGGTATCCCAAACAAGCAAGCCAAACTCTGTTCTATTAATAGACACAGGCACGGTCGACGAAGGGGTTTTTGTTGTAACAGACAAAACAAACTTACATGGTTATGTTACTTCGTTCAGGTTGAACGAAAGCATAACAAAGTGGAGAAAGATGTAAATGTTTATAAGTGCGGTTGTAAGATTTAGAAGATTTTCCAAAAGAATTTTAGTTTTATGTGATTCTTTTGTTCCTCTTCTATTGAGCTTACGATCTCGTCACTTGGGTAAAAAAATGTTTTTTGTCATAGAAGTTATTTTTTTTTTTAAATAACTTCTGGGGAGAATATCCCAGACAAGAAACAAGGGAACTGATGAGGATTGGTGGCTCTTTCCGAAACCTAGGTATTCCCTGCCTTACCCCCTGGTAAACATTACCATCGTTCTCCACTCATAAACAAACGTTGTTTTTATAAAAACAACAATAATGGGATTTCGCCTGACGATTTTGCAACAACAAAATACTATGGTATCCCAAACAAGCAAGCCAAACTCTGTTCTATTATTATAGATTATTACTTTTAACTTAACGTCTTCAATACTCATTTTCTTAAATTTTGGCGTCCTTTTCAGTAAGGTTTCACCAGTCCAATTTAGACTGTTTGCTTTTGGAATTTTGACATTTTATCGCATTTCTGCTAATTTTCCTTTCCCTTATTTTTTGAGCAAACCTAAATGAGAATGACATTTCGAACTGTTCTCTCTTCTGCTAGTTTTGCTACTAAAAAAGTACTGGAACACAACTTGTATTTGGGGGGTAGCTTTGTTCTATCTTCTGTAATTGTGCCATGCTCCAGAGGCATGGTACAATAAGGAGGTAGAATAGCTTCGTAAAACTAGAGATATACAGCCCTGAGACTATGTCCTATGTTGCTTTCTGCCAAAATTATATGCAACAAGTTGTTTTCATTTATTTGGTATTTTTTGTTCATTTTTAAAAGGAGTCAAATAGCGCAAAGATGAATGATATGCCTGGATGTTCTTTCAAAAATATGATCCTAAGGTTTCAATATTTCAATTCCATATTAAATCTGGTTAATATCATTAAGGCGCGCTTCGTAATTTAAGTTTCTTCCAATCATTGATTTTGAAAATATTTTGTTTTTATTTTTCAAAACAATAAATACATACACAAAACTGGCAGAGGTCGGGCATACTTGGAATAATTGTAATCAGCTGGTAGCTCTACCTTACCTTTTTTTGTACCATGCCCAGAGGAGAAAATCTCAAGATCCGACCGAAGGCCGCCTACGTTATGTTGCTATGATTAGGATAACAATACCTACTTTCGGTAAAAATTTCTTTATACCCATACTCTCATTATAAAAATTTTGCTTATTCAAAAGCGTTGCCCTTTATTTTCAGAAGATTTGTGTCGTTTAACGTCAGGAAACTATCCATCAGAGTTGCATTTTTAGTCTTAATATTTTAAATTGGTAGCCCTGAAAAGTTTTCTGACGCCGTTATCGTGGATTAATTTAGGTTGACTTTGATGTATGCTCACACTACTCACAACAGAAACGAAGCCATTTTATTTTCACATTATCCAAAAGGGAGGTGATTAGCATCATATACTAGTGAAACGTGTTAAAAGTCGTTTAATTCTGCTACGCATTTTTCACAGTCTGTGAAGTGAAATTTTCTAAATATTTTGTTCAAACTTACTAATTAAACCAACTTAAAAATGGCTGACGTTGCAGTTGCAAGACCTTACACAGATATAAATCAGGTATGTACATTTGTATATTAGTTTTATTATCTTATGAATAAATGTGTATACCAAAATCGGACGGTATTCGTGTCATCATTTTTTTCACCAAAGCAATTCTTGCTTTATGAACTCATGGCGAGATAGTAAAAAATTAGGTGTTGACAGTATATTATTTATCCCTTCGTAAATCTCACATTTTAACTATATAATTATAGAATTAATATATTGTAAATAAGTTCATATGTGTATGCATATTTAAATTAAAACTTGGTCATCCTTTAGTAGTGTACAAACAAGTATTTTTGCTATGTATTTTTTTGTATGTACACATGGCTTTACAAAGTATTTGTAAAATATACTAATATGAATATATAATTAAAGTTTACACAATGCAACAATTCGATGATTCCTCTCAAAACTCATCCCCAGTTTGAATTGATAATAATAATAAAAAATTGTATACATATTTTGAACTGACACATGGTATTCGAATAGATTTGGGTTAGAACAAAATTTAACATTGTAATCTTGTGTTAATTTACAAATTTTGTTATGCACTAGGTACCTATAAATATTTAATTTCTTTACGTAATATCGGTACAGTCGCGGCATTATAACTCTCTACTCAAATGCTAAAACTTTTATTGTGATAGTGTTTTGCGTTATAACGATCGTATTTCACCATTCACCTCTCGATATTTGCTATGCCTCCAAACTATTTGTAAATGTTTAATATATTTGTTATCGATAGTTTAATATCAATTAGGTTCCAAACTTTCTTTACCAAAAATCCATTCTAAAAACATATGCTAATATTTGTCGATGATACCTGTTTATATTGCTTTTACTATTATTATCTTTCATACGTTCTCATTTGTTGCAATTGTTAACATATGAGAACTATAATATTAAAAATTGATTTCTATAGGTATTTGATTTTGTTTAGTTAAAACATTGATTTTTTATAAGTCTAATTAAACCAAAATATTATCTTTTCAGTTTGAAAATGATAATTACGCCTGCAAATTGTTTTTGGGTGGTCTGGCTCCCAATACAACAGAAGAAAGCTTAACTAATTTTTATGCACAGTATGGAGAAGTAACAAATGTTGTGGTAAAGCGTGACCCCACAACACAACGTTCTAAAGGATTTGGGTTTGTCACATACAAGGATTCTGCCAGTATTGAAAGAGCTCAAAGTGTTAAACCTCACGTTATTGATGGAAGGTAAATAATAATAGTCCGAATTCCTTACAATATTACAAATTTAAATTTTTCCCACCAAAGAAATGTTGATTCAAAACCTGCTCTGCCACGTTCTGAAACTAACAGAAATGGAAACGGTGGTGGTGGTGGCTATTCCAATGGTGGTAGCGCAGTAAGAAAGATTTTTGTTGGAGGACTCAGAGATAATCACGATGAACAAAACCTACAAGAATACTTCCAACAATTCGGCACTGTACAAAGTGTTAAAATTCTATTGGACAGAACAACAGGTCGCAAACGTGGTTTTGGCTTCGTCGAATTTGAGAGCAACGAGGCTGCTGATAACGCTGTCTGTAAGTATACTGAAATGGGGTAAAATTGTTTTCATATAAAACTGCCAAAGTACTGGCACTCTTTAATTCATTCTGCAAGTTTTCTGAACACTTAACAATTGCAAATTCGTCCGATTTAGATACATTTTCTCGCCATTTCTTGTAAGCAAGGAACATTTCTAACATGTCAATATTGGAAGATATATTTTTATGTATCTAGTTTGTGTTAAGTAATTAATGGCTAATTTAAACGGACTACTCATGCAAAAATAGCGTAGGTATGTTTTGTTTAAAAATCTCACATTTTATTAAGATTCGAAATCTAATTAAAGTTCATTAGATTTATGACGATGTTTGTTTTCATGTAAAGCTGTGTCAAACAACCGTGCATTTAACGAATAGCTAACTAAAAACTATTGACGCTAGCAATTGTTTTCAAGTTAAATAATTCCCAAAAGATGACCACTAGTTTAAGGTTAACTCATAATTAAAAAATAGCTATTATATTTGTCTAAAAGACAAATTCATTGTAGTTCGTTGGCGACAAAGCTATCGTTCATCGTTATTCGATATTACATTTTGTATAAAATGGAATTCAATGTATGTATAGTAAAACCAGCAATTGAAATAGACAATTGCAGAAATGAATGCAACTTTATGTGGAGGAAATACCTATGTTTGGGTAACACTTACACGAGTGATTAAAGATTGTAGACTTAAATCTTTAAAATGCTTACATAATAATTATTTTTTACGCCTGCTTTTTTAGTTCATAAAAATCATGTTATTGATAATGTTAACGTTGAAGTAAAAAAATCAAACTATAGACCTGAACAATCGAACAGAGGTTCATACCAACAAAATGGATCTTATGGATCCTATTCTCAAAATAAGTCATACAATTATGCTCCCGCGCAATCATATAACGGTTGGGGTGGGGCTCACGTCACTCATTACCAACAACAACCACAAACAGTTAATGAAGGTGGATATGCCGCTGCGGCAATACCCCAATACAGTGTGGCTTATGAAGAACAACAACATACTTGGAATGGAGCTGAAGCTGAAGGACAATTCGGTAGCTACCACAACTCACATGGTGGTGGACCACAAAAGGGCTATAATTTGCAAAATAATCGGAGGAATCCCTATAATGTCTAAGTGGTATGTATTAAAATTAAATGGAGGAAAGCCAAAATATCGACAGAATTTCTGTGTGTTTTGTAGTAGGGGTGTGTGTAAATATCATTAATATGGGTGATACTAAAATTTATTAGTATTTTTACTACATAGTTTACCGTCAGATTTTTTAGTTTTATATTAATGACTTTTGGATATAAATTACAACTACAATCTTAGTTACGATGCGAAAATTTTTTTGAGCCCTATGGGCTAAAGTGATATTTATAGCAGTACATTTTAATATGTCAAAGTAATGTTGTGTGTCCAGGGATTTTCAAAAACAAAATTACATAACTAGAAAAATTCTGCCTCCCAAATATATTTTAATTATTAATAATAAATCTATCTACGTGATCGTAAAATATATATCCAATGCTGATGGTTTTGGCATAAACATGTTCTTGTGTTCCCCATAAAAAACTTAAATTTATAGAGTTTTAGAATGATATACATTCGATAATGTAGGATCTTCATGTACAAGAATATGTTTATGTCATTTATTTTGGACTAATTGGCTTTGTCGAAGATATAGGTATTTTTACAATTTAAATTTCTGTTATACAGACATTCTAACCTATATATTTATGTACTACCATATCTCGTACTTGTAAAAAAACTTCATCTGTATGATATTTTTATTTAAAACACCTCCGGATGGGCATTACACATTAATATATTATTAATGTTGAGCCCTAATAACTATGGGACATTTCACAGAACTGTTGTTACTCTTTGAATTACATTTTTGTTTCTTACATATATATATCCTAAGGCACGTTTAAACTATATACTACCTCACCTTTTTTAATTCGATTTTTAATGTCCGCGCATAACAAACTGGTTTTTAAATTAAATAAATTTATATTTCTAAATACCTATTACATAAACATATATAATGATATAGTGAAAAATTATGTGCTTCATATAAAACTACGATGTAATTTTAAGTAATTTGAAAACAATTACATTCTATTGCGTCGGTACCACGCCGGAAAAAGTTTAAATAAGTCTTAAATTTATGTATGTTTGTACAGAATGTGTTCAAATGTCATACATATTTATTCGAGCAAAATGATTTGTTACTATTTATATATTTCTTTATTCTTTATAGTGTTGAACAAGCTATACACAATTTCTAAACATAATATAAATGTGTGTTATTTAAGAATGTATATTACAAAATTAATGGATATTCTCGTATCATACACTACTATATTGGATCGTCAACATCCCATTTTTATTGGACAAAAATGAATTAAACTTTTTTTATTTCACTTATAAATATATAAAATAAAAAAAATATATCTTAAAATAAAAAATAAACATTTTTAAGAAAAAACATTGTAGTTTGTTTTTATTACATATCATTGGATTAAAAACGGGGATTTTATATTAGGGTACTCACTACATTTTGTTAACAATGCAAACTGTAATAAATGCACGCCAAGTGTTATCAAACACAAACACTCACTTTAAGTGTGTCGGACGCAACTTATTTTTATAGCCTCCACCGTACTATGAAGAGGATATTGACTTTCCATCCGTTTGTAACTGTTCGAAATAATCACATTGGACCCTAAATCAAATTAACATTCCGTATTAAAAATAGGCATAAACAATAATTTGCAGAGGTTAGCAGATACCATTGCTACATACCTGTGCAAGGCGAAGCACAGTTCGAAGTTTGATCAATTTAATAGGTAAGGAATAGGATAAAAACATGAAAATTTGATACACAAATTTAAACTCGTAGTAAATAGGAGATGTTCATCTGTCGATCAAATTGAGATAGAAGAATGTAGATTAAGTTAGTAATTGGAACATGTCGTTCCACGTTTTCGTACAGCGCCCCCACATAACGGTGTCTCCCAATATTTGAAATTTTCAGAATTTGACTCACATTTTCTAACTGAATTGTTACAAATTCGATATTTATTAGATTTTAAAATGGTTTCTACCTCCTGATGCAGAATGTTGTCTAAACACCCCCCAAAATAGTAACTTCGGTTATTCGTTATTTTGACGATTTAAGACACATTGGATTTGTTAACAATCCTGTATTTATAACTTGTAATGGAATCCTCTGGTGTCGGAACATTGTCTGCATTAGTTCACGATTTCATATAGCCCTATATCCGACTTTTTGATGGTTTTAGCCACATTTTTTACGGAATTACAAAAGACAATTTTCTATTTAGATTACCTTTTTTGGAATACCCTTCTTTTGACGGTACAACCCATTTTTATTGTCGTAATATGAAAATAACGGTCATACATGATTTATTCCATTGGAATGTTTGTCAGTGCGGACCCAGTAGTCGGCACTTTTAAGATTTTCGATTTTTCAACATTCTGAGTGAAATATTGCAATTGCAGAAAAATAAAGTCGTTTAGATTCCAAATTTTGTTTAGTTTTCGAAATAATAAACAAAAAATTGAATTCGTTTTTATTAAATTGGCAAAATTTGCGTTTTTACTAAAATAGTACTTTTTTGCCAGTAGTCGGCACCATTTTCCAATGCTCGGCATGTCTATTTGCCAGTAGTCGGCATATGGTATTTCAGTACATATTTTTCAATAATGCCACCGCTATTTAAAACGTCAAATAGCTGATTTAAAAACCTACTTAATTTAGAAAAGTTGATCAAAAGGCACAAATAAAATCAACTGCCGACTCAAAACCATGCTATTTCTTTATTTGAGTAGTTTTTGGATTATTTTTTAATACTTTTTTCAAGTTTTGGTAATATTGGTCAAAAATGATGCAAAGGCATAGATGTATAAAGATGGGACAAGACAGAGTCAAGATATAGCAACCCTGTGAAAATATCTCTGTTGTTATGATATCGTAACAACATAGTTAGCAATGTTAAGCTATTTAAACCGCTTAGGCAATATTATATTTGCCAATCGGCACCCCCTGCCGACTACTAGCAAATCTTTTTATACCCTCCACCTTGGAAAGGAGGGTATATTAACATTGTCATTCCGTTTGTAATATGTCTAAATATTCGTCGAAGACCCCATAATGTATATATATTCACAATCAGCATACAATTCTGACTCGATTTAACGATGTCGTCTGTCTGTGGAAATTACGATACAGGCCACATTATTTGACATAGAGCATCAACATTTAGCAGAATAATTTGTATTGTGTCTAGGATGGTTGGTATTGAAAATGACATATATCGGTCCACGTTTTGGTGTAGTCCCTATATAACGGTACCTCCCGAAATACGGTATTTTAATGATTTTTGCCGCATTTTTTCATGGATTTGTATAAAATTTGGTATTTGTTAGTCATAGTGGGTTCTAGCTCCCGTGGCGAAACATTGCATATATAGGTCCACGTTTTGGTATAGCCCCCATATAACGGTACCTCCCGATATTCGGTATTTTGATGATTTTTGCCACATTTTTTTCATGGGTTTGTCTAAAAATTGGTATTTGTTGGTCATAATGGGTTCTAGCTCCGGTGGCGAAACATTGCATGTATAAGTCCACGTTTTGGTATAGCCCTCATATAGCGGTACCTCCTGATATTCGGTATTTTAATTATATTTGCCACATTTTTTCACAGATTTGTCTGAGAATTGGTATTGTAGGGTCCTAGTTCGTGTGGCGAAACATTGTATGTATAGGTCCACGCTTTGGTATAGCCCCCATATGACGGTATCTCCCGATATTCGGTATTTTGATGGTTTTTGTCACATTTTTCACGGATTTGTCTGAAAGTTAGAATTAGTTGGTCATAATAGGTTCTAGCTCCGTTGGCGAATGGGTCCACGTTTTTGTATAGCCCTTTTGGTTCTAATGTTTCCATTACCCTAAGGTGGAGGGTATTAAAAGTTCGGCCCGACCGAACTTAATGTTTTTTTACTTGTTTTCTGTTCCTAATGTCGGCAGTAAATAATATAACAGAAAAATGCTTGATTTGTATGTTTTTAAGTTATAAAATGATCTTTAGACTCTTATTTACTATTATAAAATACTTCTGAATCCAAAAGTATTTAATTTACCTTAATCGATTATTAAATTGACGCCACCACCATTTTTTTCTTTACAAACAAGCACTATCGCACGCGTTGGAAGACATTAACTGACGAAATTTCTCGTAATAAATGATCGGAGCTCGTTGTTTTTTAAAGAAAGAGAGCAGAGAACACTGTTGACGTTTTTTTTCAATTATTTCATTTGTTCAAAACTGTCGACTACTGGGACATGCCAAACATAGGCGCACTTACCCTATTTTCTTTAAACAATAATTTTAGAAAGTTATATTACGAAAAATATTTATAGAGTAGGTCGACTTTCCGTTGTCTATATTTGCATTTGTCTATGTTATAGGTACCCTGCTGTACTGATTTTGTTTTTTTCTTGCTAAGCCATGATGGGAAATGTGTATTAAGGCTGGCAGCACTAGCCATGGTACAATAAAATCAAGGTAGGGATATGATTTTAGTTTTTTTTTTTTTTTTGTTTTCTTGGCTTAATAATGTTGAGTTTGTATTCTTTTCAATAATAAAAAAAATATTTAGAAAATATTTAAATTCGGGTGTTTTCAAAATGCCTATTGCAACGTATGCATCTTTAAACTCTAGTTTTTTTAGCGAAATAAACCGTTAGAGATATATAGAACATGATTTTGAAAAGATATTTTAATCGTTGATTCAGTTTTCGCGATTTTCAATTATTTATTCAAAATGGATGCAACAAGTTGTTTGTAGTTTTAATAGTAATTCTGACATTACAAGCCAAACAGGTAGACGTCTATACTTGCAATTTTTTCAAAGTTAGTTATGTTGCATTTATATCACGGCAAGGCCAATAAAGAATAGTTTCTCAATTATTTATTTAAAATGCTTTCATATCATTCCCCTGAATGTATAGTTGTTAGCTGTAGGTCTAATCCATGATAAAATGATACGGGTAGGCGCATCAACACAGCTGCTGGTACATTGAGCTGTCAAACCAATTTTGGAATTGAAATTGACACATCAATGTTCGCGAATGTTGATGCATCTACCTATATTCTTCTACCATGGTCTAATCACTCAACGCGTATTTGGGCCACCCTCATGTAAATACATGTGTTTTACTTGTGAAAAACGTCGACCGAGTACGTCGAAAGTCAGGTAACGCTCTAACACTTAAATTGTCACCGAGAGCATATTTTCCATCGACTGCTCGAATTAAACTAAATATTCTACCAAATACCCAACATACCAAAACGGCTTGAGAATAATATTACAATAAGCTTATTAACATAAGCCTTAAGCTCGAGAAAATCTTGAGAAAACATTGAACAATGTTTGTGTAACAAGTAACGAAATGGAACCCTTATTTATAAGCTTATACTTGAAATTGTAGAATAAGCTTACGAAAATAATATTACATTAAGCTTATTTTTGTAATAGTATAAAATATTAATTTTTTTAATTTTTAATCATTTGACACGTTTTTTTCTTGATGGACATCCCAGTAGTAACTGCCTCATGTGGCCTTGATACCCTGACCCTTTCTTCTCCCTTATTTGAGCTTTGTTTGTGGAACATAAGTGTTTCTCAAGCATTGTTAAAAAATTATATTTTTATAATATTATTCTCAAGCTGTATTGTATTTTTGGTGTGTTCGGTAATTTTGACGAAAAGATTCAAGACAATTTATGCATTTGTATTTGTGAACACACAGACATCCCATGGAACTCTCTTTGCCTTGCCATGATAAATATCGAAGTATTTTTGACAATTTATTATAAATTGAGATTGATACAACCAGTCACCCATCTTTCAGTCAAGAAACCACCGAGTGGCGATCTCCAGATGACTTCATCCAGTTGTAGAATGATGCATTTATAATTAACGATTTTTTTCAAACGGTTGAGAAAGTCCCACAAGGGACCATCGCACACTCCCACCCATATATATATTGACTTAGTTATAATTATTTTTAAGTTAGTATTCACTTCTTAGGAACATAATTTGATTATTAATACTGCTCATTGGCTTGGAGGCTTTAGTATTATGGTATGAAAGGAATAAACAAATATGTGTGTTCTTTAATGCACGATTTTCATGGCTTTTGGATGTTCATTGATGCACTGAATGTATTTTTTTTCATGTGAAATGTATGTACGTGTGAAATGCGGATACGTTCTGTTTTACGCCAGGCCTGTAAATTTTTGAACAATTTTTACAAATATTTTTAGTTCACAAAGCAATTTGCTCGCGAGACCAATATAGCTCCTGACGAAATGTTTAGTTATAGACCTTGGCTTAACTCTAGTTTAGTAAAAACTCTTCAATTTTTTCCAGTAGTAGGTATTTTACCCTGATCCC